AATTCTTCACAAGGATACCACCTTGCATTTCCTTTAATCACCTCATGAGATGAGCCATTCGTGATTCATCATTCAATTAGAATATTATAGTCTCACAACTATTAATAAGTATTTCATACTTATTAATTATTTATACTTTTTATTCTAGTTTATCCTTCACAACTAGATCATTTTAGTAACATGCACTCTTAAGCATTTCTAAAATAGTTACAAGAATATTACTTGAGTTACTTTGGTCATTTCTCAAATGAGCCAACAAAATCATTTATATTAATTAATCATATCTTGTATTTTTTTTTTACCTTAGTTTATTTCTCATAAACTAAATTCACTTTAATGGCTTGCATGATTAATTACTTGAATCCTTCAAGAATACCATCTTGAATTTCCTTGGTTAATTTCCAAATTAATCATTCATGATTATCCTTCATCAAAAGTATTAATGATTCAATTACTCATTAATCATGCCATTTTCGCATAACTTATCACCAATATAGTTAGTCACGTGTTTAAACACTTTTAAACATTTCTTTACATATTCATACACTAGATTACTCTAGTTGTCTCATACATAGTTCATGTATGCATTGTTATACATTTGACCATAACATATTCATGGTTAATCCACAAATAAATCTTGTATTCATTAACCATATAATATTTTCATAATTCATATTCACCATGACTAATCATGCATTTTAATCCATTTAATCATTTCTCAAATAATGACTATGATTTTATTTAGGTAATCCCACGTTTGACTCAAGAGTTACAAGACACGTAGTCGTCCACTCACCTTGAAATGACGCTAGCAAACTTTTATCCTCTTTGTTTGAACTCCGGTGACTTTTGGAATTTTCCGGCGAAACTCCGGCGGCTCCGGCAACTTTCCGGCCACTCCTAGATTCCTCGAGAAGTCTAGAATACCTTGGTAAAATTCCTAACAAGTTTTCACAACCAAAAGTGATATAAATGTCAAAACCTTCCAAGAAGGTGTTTTCCGGTGAACCGGTCTTACTCCGGCCATAACTCCGTTCATGGTTAAACTTAACCTTCCAAACACTCATTCTACACTTATAGAAGTGTAGAACAAGATTAAAAGTCTATCATATGATTTATGAAATCATATGAGATTAAAATGAAGGAGAAAAATACTAATGAAGTCATTACCTTGATTTTAATAAGTTTTTCTCTTCTTTTCCAAGCTCTTCTTCTACCTTGAGCCTCCTTCAAACATGAGCTCGGTTCATGGCTATGGAGGGGGGTATTTGCAGAGGTTATCTCTTTATTTTTATGGCCTAATTCGGATGGGAGAATAAGGGAAAAGTCAACACACTCTTTGGCACCTTTCTCTCAATCAAGGTAGATGAGAAGACCCACCCATGTCCTTTTATGCCAATCAATTCAAATCCCATACCATGCATCTCTCCACCATCCTCCAGCCCACATCTCGGCTGATTGGTTGCATAATTACATGGGATGGCCCCCACCCATGTGGGAGGTCATCCCAATATGTCCCGAAATGTACGTTCGGTCCCGAAAGTTGTATTTTCTAGACTGTTTTAATTAAATTTCATTTTATCGGGTCAAATAAAATATATATCATTCTTCCAATTAATATTGGCCTCTAGAATGAATATATATTATCCCACTTTAATTTCGTGGTCGCCGAAATTAATTTCGGGTTGTTATCTGTTTAATTACCTATACCGGTAATGGGACCTCGTTTGATCGAAAGGCCAACTTTTTGGCTCAACATTTATTTACAACCTCATATAAATATTATCTAGACCAAGATGAATATAATATGTGGTCCGTAAATATCGGACGGTCGCCGCCCACGTGTGGGCCCAACATGTATTTTACTGTTCAAGTAACAGTAAAAATGAGAACGCGTTGCCTCGAAAATTCACTCGTCATTTCTCATTACTTAATATGTGGTTTCATATTTGGTGACACTTTAATAAAATGTTACACTTATTTTTAAGTGGTCCCAACTGTATAAGCAGATAAAATCTTATCTTTTTATTCTTATACGAAAATATCTTCAAGGTAGGGTCCTCCAAAAGTACCCACCCCATAAGTATGATATAGACTCTATCTAGGTTGATAGGAGGTTGATCATAGGAAAATATTTTGGTGGAGGACCCTAGTACTTAAAAGTACTTAACACTCAAAATTTGGTGGAGGACCCTAGTACTTAAAAGTACTTAACACTCAAAACTTGGTGGAGGACCCTAGTACTTAAAAGTACTTAACACTCAAAACTTGGTGGAGGACCCTGGGGCTTAAAGTCCTTAACACTCGGATTATAAATTGGTGGAGGACCCTGGGGCTTAAAGTCCTTAACACTCGGAATGTAAATTGGTGGAGGACCCTGGGGCTTAAAGTCCTTAACACTCGGATTATAAATTGGTGGAGGACCCTGGGGCTTAAAGTCCTTAACACTCGGGATGTAAATTGGTGGAGGACCCTGGGGCTTAAAGTCCTTAACACTCGGATAATAAATTGGTGGAGGACCCTAGTACTTAAAAGTACTTAACACTCAAAATTTGGTGGAGGACCCTAGTACTTAAAAGTACTTAACACTCATAGATTATGATATTGAAATAGGGACAATGAGGAGTCCTATACACTCATAGGTATATGGGTGGGTTGGGGTTTTTAGTCAAGGATATTGACTATTACTATTTTCCCAAATAAAACGGTGATCTACGGATCGGGTATTTTCCAAGTATATATATACTAATGAGTATTTCATAACTTGGGGGAAAGGACTATTTATATAAGTATCACCCTATGTTTGGGTCTTATACTTGAAACGCTAGTTATTCTATATTTAGCCTGCTACTCGCTCGGTACTTGTACTGACCCCTTCGGGGGGCCCCACCATTTTCAGGTTGAAGCTAGGGCTTGCTACCTGCACCTTCTTACGGGTGATATCAACTTCAGGGAGACGTGGTTCGCGCTTCCTTATTTTCTTTCAAACTACCGAACACATGCTCATGGATATTTGTTCTACTATAAAATATTTTTGGGGCTTGCATGCCCATGTTGTTGGCCGGTTGTGGCTTATGACTTACCGTTGAATATTTCCGCTATTCATTGGTTTAAATGTGATGTTGTTATGTATGTTTACTACTGAGGAGAGCTCTTCTCATCAGGCCGGCCTGACGGGCTGCCCCGTCCGGCCGAGCCCGTTTGGGCACCTTCCCGGTGGAATTTTTTGATGAAATTTTTTGAGCATGTTCCTCATCAAGTCTAGTTTATCCATAGCAAATTTCAGCTCAAAATTCGATCGGGAAGGTCGTCAAATGATTTTTGCAAGTTAACTGGTCCGGAATATGTATTTTCCGGACCATAAATCTCACCTTTCACAAAGATAATATTTTGCAAATATAAGAAAATAACTTGGAATAGTAGGTCATCAACCGACCAAGGACCAATGAATGAAGATGAGGTGCAAAGGTTGGATTATTCATGAATAATCAAAAGGTGGGACTATTGTAAGAAGACCGCTAAAAGGTTGGATTATTAGTTTCTATTCTCCCAAAAAAGAAAAGTAAAAAATGACATTTGGAATGCCACATCAACACAGTTACTGGATAACGGAGAAGTAACTTGCTAGATTACAAATTTGATCATTTCTGTATACTTCTAGGGCTCAACTTACTTTTTTGATATACTTTAGGGGCTAATTTAACAGTTTTCCCTAGTAGAAATTTTCATTTTTTAATAAGTGAGACGTATTTTTTGGAAGAATAAATGACACAATTATTACTCATACAGTTTTAGTTTTCAAAAATATGAGCGTTTTTAGTTTTTCCAAAAACACGACTTACGGGCATCTGGGTCTTCCCCCTTTCGCATCTCCTTCGCAGAGGACAGGAGCAGACCTCACCAAGACACTATGCCCTCTTTCTCAACATTCCAGCCATGCTCGACCGCCACAACAATTCTGACGTCGTAGTCGTTTGACCGCCGGAATCACACATCGAATTTCCTTCTCCTTCTTCATGAGCACATAAGCTTCTAAGTCGATTGATGTGTAAATCGACGGAGACGGTTGGGAATCGACGAGGATGGAAGTTGCAATGGACAACAAGGGCTTCGCAGATCTAGACGGTGATGGTTGCAACAGATCTGGCGTCGGCGCGAATTTGGGAGAAGGTCTGGTCACCAGTCGCCACTGGCGGCCGGGGATGGGGAGGTGGACAGACCTGGTCACAATTTTTTTTGCGCAGGGATGGATTTGAGCTTCGGGCTGGGGAATTTGGTTCTGGCCGGTGGGGGCATGGGTGGGGGCTTGTGGGGTCACTGTTTAGGGCGGCGACGGTTTCCAGTTGGTACTGGGCGACGGGGGTGACATGGGAGGGGGCAGTAGACAGCCTGATGAGACTTGCTGCCGGAGAGGGGCGGCGACAGAGTACCAACGATGGTGGAGAGTGGTGGTGGCCGATGGTGGAAGGTGTGGGGTGACTATAGTGACACCAACGGTGATTACAGTGACACGATCGGTGGCTACAGTGACGGGAGCGGTGACTACAGTGACACCGACGGTTGCTACAGTGACATCGATGGGGGCGACAGTGACGTTAAAATCTGGCAATGATATTGATATGACCGTCACTTTTTCTCCTAATGATAATGTTGTCACATTTTTTAAAATTGTCTGGTAAAACCCCCTTTTTGGAAAGATCCAAAAAGAAATGTGAAAAGTATTTTTTGGAAGAGAGAGTATCATGTATCAACCGACCAACCCTTGTTGATATGCTTTGTGGTTTGCAATTTAATACTCCCTCCGTCCCAGAATTAACTTCGGTTTTGACTGGGCACGGAGATTAAGAAAGTGGGAAATGTGTGGTGGAGAGTTGTGCAGAGGAGAGAGAAATGTGTAAGAATGGTTGTGAACCACAAATCCTTTGCTAAAAAAGGAAAGAGGAGATAAATTTGGGACGGACCAAAAAGGAAAGAATGAAGATAATTATGGGACGGAGGGAGTAATATAGTCCAAGTAAAAGCAGATCATTCACTCCGTTCCTTCAATAATGCAATCCCACCATCAAATTGCAATTTGCAAATGGATAGTTCTACTGACAAACCTCCTTATACTCCTCTGTTTGAACAAATCCAGCCCGCCCGAAATCCGGCTGATTACAGGCGATCCTTGAAGATCATCACCTGTAGCCTCCTTTCCTCCCTCTGTGTACTATCTTCTGTCATTCTGATCCTCAGTCAATCACCCTTACCAAAGTCTCAACTAGTCAGCAATGGAACTTTACAAGAACCTTCATCGTTGGAGTCCTCATCGATCGCCAGAGTTGCGGTCTCTTCGCCCGTGGAGGCGTCTGGAGATGGGTTCTCGAACCAATGGACTGAACGGATGTTGACTTGGCAAAGAACAGCTTTCCATTTTCAACCAAAAAATGGCTGGATGAATGGTTTGGAGCATACTGATTTAATTGGCTCCACTTATTTTTAAATACATTTTGCTGCTTTGCTGATTGAAGATTTGATTCGAGTTTTTTTGCTCTTTCATCTTAATCTCATGAATGCTCTTCCGGACATCACCTGCTTATAATGGAACACGGCAGATCCAAATGGTATTGCGCTATGCAAACTCTTGCTTCATTCATATTCTGTTGTTATTGACTTTTTATCAATCATTGCTGCTTAAAAATTTCTTGCATAACACGAATGTCCTGGGGTTAACTTACTAGTGGGTGGTTCTGGGTGAACACAAGTTTTTATAAGGTTAACTCACTATTCATCTCTTTTCGAGCCTTCGAGGTGTTGGAAGTATTTTGGTGACAAGAAATTAGGTTTTAGAAGATTATACTCCGTATAAGTTTACTAACCTCCAAAAATCCATTTTTTGATAACCTATGAAAACTCAAGTCTGTAAAATTCTTGAATCATGGGCTTTGAAAGATTGAGTTTTTCTGGTAAGGTGTTTTTACCTAGGTAACATCCATTCCAACAACTTTTTGTCTTTTTGTACTTGCAACTAGGTTCACCTAGGTCCATCCAAGTTCTTACTAACTTGAGGTTGACCAAGTTACTTAATTTTATTCGAACCAAACAGAATCTAAGTGGAAACGGACATATTCTGATATTATCATGAAAATTATATGAGATGCATTAGAACCTCAATAGGTATGGTCGTCCCTGTGCCAGCTCTAAGGACTGATCAGTCCCCGTTCCATGCTTATGATTCTGGTCTCTAGCTCTCCTAACTTTAAGTTCTATAAAGAATTTTGAAAAAAATAAAAAGAAATAGAAATTGTTGAATTTTGACAGGTTACCACTAACCAGTTACAACCCTGGAGACTTCCCTGCATTTCTGCTTCTTTAAAGACTGTGGGTTTAGCCAAACCCATGTCCTCCCCTAACTCTCACTGGTAAAGAGATACTCCTATTTAATATTCATTTTTAGCCTCTAAACTGTGGTTGAAGTTGTTTGGATTCTTTGATATTTCTTTTATTATATGTATCTAATAATTTACATTGGTCCAAATTATGAAAATTACATTCTATGGTATTATATATAACAACCCACTTAGTATTACTTCATATCTGCCGTGTTTAAAACAAATTTATAGGGAGGATGTCTGACAAGTCACAATGAATGTTCACAAAAATGGAACTATCAAAGTGGGAACTTTCACCTTTTATAATGACTTTTAAATGACCCATTGGCCATTTATGTATGGTGATCTTTTATCCAAAAGTAGAAGTTTTTACATTTAACTTTACAATGTGTCACGAAAATGTGTAAGATTAAAAGGTTAAATGTGCACGAAAATGTGTCACAGCTCCATTATACTACAAAGGATGGTACCACCTTTTCTACCAATACAACCCAAGTTCAGCTTTTTGGGTGGAAAATATCACATGGGGTCATGCAGTATCAAAAGACATGATTCATTGGCTCTATCTACCACAAGCAATGGTCCCTGATCAGCCCTATGACCTGAGTGGCGTTTGGACTGGCTCTGCCACATCCCTCCCTGATGGAAGGATCATGGTGGTCTACACAGGGAACACAGATGTGCAGGTGCAAAATCTTGCATATCCTGCTAATCTTTCTGATCCCCTCCTCCTTAAATGGATCAAGTATCCGGGTAACCCTGTTATTGTCCCGCCGCCCAGCGTTGGTTTGTTGGAGTTTAGGGATCCAACTACGGCGTGGGCAGACTTAAAAAGTGGCCATTGGTATCTTACTATAGGGTCTGAGCTTAATCAAACAGGTGTTGCATTTGTTTATGAAACTTCCGATTTTATAAGCTATAAGCTTCTGGATGGGTTCTTGCATTCAGTTACCGGTACTGGTATGTGGGAGTGTGTGGACTTTTTTCCGATTTCAACCGGAAATGGAAATGGGTCAGACCAAATGGTTAAAGGTTCAGGTGTGAAGCATGTTTTGAAGGCAAGTTTGTATGACGAAACACATGATTATTATGCTATTGGGACGTATGACCCAATAAAAATAAAGTGGACACCTGATTATCCAGAACTGGATATAGGTAAGGGGTTGAGACTTGATTATGGGAAATGTTACGCAACAAAGACCTTTTATGACCAAAACAAGCATAGAAGAATTATATTTTCTTGGATTGGGGAGAGTGACTCCCGATATGTTGACATTGTAAAGGGTTGGGCATCTATTCAGGTATATTAGCATTTTGGTTTTTTCAAATCGTACTTTTTGACATTGATACCCATACATGGATTTTCCCAAAAGTTAATGAACAACTTGGGTAAAATATAATCCTCATCAGTATGTGATGTTGGTGCCAGTTAGTAATATTAAAACACTCGTACTTGAGCCTTAGAGAAGAGTTAACGCAAACGCACAATTAACTTGTAGTTTAGTGGTACAAAAAAGTTCACACGATTAGCGTCAATGATTCAAGTGCTTACATGGCAACCTTGACCGGAATTAAGAGAGTTTTGATTAAATTGGGACATTATGACCTGATTGAAAACTTTTTAAAAATTGGCTAGATTCATTGAAATGATTAGTTTTTTGTTGTAATTATGCCACCATGGTAGTGTTCTCCTAAGGTACACCTAAAACTTACAAGTTTTAGGCCACTTTCATTTGAGGTTCTTCCGGGCTGAATTTTTTGAAATTTTTGTGAGCATATTTTCGATAAAGTGTAGGTTATGTCCACCAAATTTCAACTTAAAATTCAATCGGGAAGTCAGTTAACTAAACTATTGACAAAACCCGCATTTATATGTATAAAAAAACTTCTCATTTTTAAAAAATTATTTAAGTGACTTCTCAATTAAATTTTAATCTCAAATTTGGTAGATATAATATAAACTTCATTGAGAACATTCTCACAAAATTTCATCAAAAAATTCATTCCGGAAGCCCCTCAACCGAAAGAGGCCTAAAATTTTAACTTTTAGGCCTACCTTACATGAATATTTTCCATGCCACCATTATTTATATATACTGTCATGATATATATGCATATATATATATATATATATGCATATATATATATATATATATACACACACACAACTTTTCGTGTCCAGCCGGCCTGACGGGAACCGCCGTCCGGCCGAGGGCATTTCGAGAACTTCCCGATGGAATTTTTTGATGAATTTTTTTTAGCATGTTCTTCATGAAGTCTAGTTTATCCATACCAAATTTCAGCTAAAAATTCAATCGGGAAGGCATTGAAATAATTTCTTGAAGTTAACTGGGCAGTTCATACATATAAACTGCGCAGTCAACTTCAAAAAATTATTTGAATGCCTTCCCGATCGAATTTTGAGCTGAAATTTGGTATGGATAAACTAGACTTCATGAAGAACATGCTCAAAATATTTCATCAAAAAATTCCATCGGGAAGTGCCCGAAATGCCCTCGGCTGGACGGCGGTTCCCGTCAGGCCGGCTGGACAAGAAAAGGACTCTCTCTCTCTCTCTCTATATATATATATATATATAGAGAGAGAGAGAGAGAGAGAGAGAGAGAGTCTTGTGCACCTAAGGCGCGCTTGACCTGGAGTGCCAAACGGCCAAGCCCGTTTGAGGTGATTCTGGGATTTCTGAGTGGAATTATTTAATGAAATTTTGTGAACGTGTTCTTCATGAAGTATAGATTGTGTCTACAAATTTATCAAAAAGTTCAATCAGGAAGTCAATTAAATAATTTATTGAAAAATTCAAGCACAATGTTTTTCAAGAATTAATCTAACTGACTTCCCGATTGAATTTTTTGATGATTTTGTGGACATAATCTATACTTCAATACTTCATGAAGAACATGCTCACAAAATATGATAAAAAAAAATTCCTCCTAGAAGTACCTCAAACGGGCTTGGCCATATGGCACTCTCGATCAGGTGAACGGGACTTATGTATTGTCTGTTTTTCTTAAACCAATGATTATGAGGTTTGTCAAATGTGGCTATAATTTTTGTATTGAACTCCATTGAATGAATTAAAATCATTTTCCTACTCCCTATTAGTTTCACCCTTCCCTTTTCCTGTTTTGATCCAAACAAGAGTAACTATACACGACATATTAGAATATCAAAGAATCAATTAACATTGTTTAAGCCTTTAAGGCTCAGTTGGTGTAGTCTTAGTATGATTGATTACTTTGTTTGATTAACCAGGGCGTACCTAGGGCTCTTAATTTTGACAAGAAAACAGGGACTCATCTGCTTCAGTGGCCAATTAAAGAAGTTGAGAGCTTGAGATTAGGTGTTCCTATAGTCACTGAAGTGGAGCTTCAACCGGGATCACTTGTGCCGATCAATATTTCAACTGCTACACAGGTATCCTTTTTATTTCCGTATGAGAATTAAACATTTTATAATTAATTTAAATGTTGTCGTTTGATGGGATATTCTAAACACTGTAGTTAGACATTATTGTCTCATTTCAAGTTGATAAGGGCGCATTTGAAGCTGCAACAGTGGAAGCCAACTATAAGTACAACTGCAATCACAGTGGTGGTGCTGTTAACAGAGGCACTTTGGGGCCATTTGGTATAATAGTTGTGGCTGATGAAACACTTAGTGAGCTAACACCTGTTTACTTCTTCATTAACAAAGGTGTTGATGGGAATGCTGAGACTCATTTCTGTACCGACTTGACAAGGTCTGTTTCTTCACCTGAGCTAGCTAGTGAGCATAAATTTCAGTAGCAATATTGATCAGGAAAAAAAATGATTTTATTTGGAAAATATGAGAGTAAATTGTGCGCATGGATAGCTAGTGTGATATTATGAGGCTTCATGATTTAATGTGTTAATAGTTGTCACTGTTTAAGTGTTTGACAACATAAAATAATAAACTAACATACTCCTTCCTTCCCACTAGACTTTGCCAACTTTCCTTATTCTGTCTCGTTTTTAAAAACTTACATCAAATAAAGCCTTTGTGTTGAATCATCATCATCATTGCCCAATGCCGCAAAGGCTCCCACCTACGGTGGGGTAAGGGGGTCGGATGTACGCAGCCTTACCCCTGTACTTTTACTACAGGGAGGCTGTTTCTTAATGACCCGTAGTGAAAATCGCGTCAAAATGACATAGACTGACCGCTGCTTCATAATAAAGAAGCGCAAACAGTTTAGTGAGCCATTTTGCTTTATTCCATCATATTCTCTATGCCAAAAAATAGTGAATTTTTGGCTCCATTGCAAATGATGGAAAAAAAAGTACTTGCAGTCATGTAGACATAAGAATTATTCATAACTGTGTTGGGAATCCTAAAAATTTCTTTAAAACACTTCCAATTCGTCTTAACCTCTGAATTGTTCTACCACCATTCATTAATGTCAATTCACTTTCAATCTTTTCTATCAACAAAAATCCATGTTGGTCAATCTTGGTCCAACAACCACGGTTATTTTGTAGGTTTATTGTATGAGAATAAGACCAATCCTTGTCTAGTTTTAGTCTTTTTATTTTCTTTTCTGTAATTTTCTTTTTTTCTCTTCTTTTCACTTCTTGCATTGTACTATTTACTTTTTCAGTATATATATATATATATAGGTTTTGGTTCAAATAAGAACATGATCTTATGAGAAAAATGAGAACGAATCTGGACCGTTGGATTTGTTTTATGTGAAATTCAATGTGCATTAGATGGTGTAATGTGTATTAGGTGAAATTGAAGTGTGTAGCACAAAAGTTACAATTTAGTGACATTATGTGAAGCTAAATTGTGCATTAGGTGAACTTGAAATGTGCACTAGATGAAACTAAAATGTGCAGAAGAAAAGGTACGATGTGATGTTATTTTTGTACCTTTTATTCTGCACATTTCAGTTTCACCTTATGCACATATGAGTTTAAATGTTTATTTTGCACATTTCAATATCATCTAATGCACATTTCGGTTTCACCAAATGCACAATTCAGTTCCACATAATTCAATCCAACGGTCCAAATTCGTTCTCATTTTTCTCTTAAGATCCGTTCTTACCGGAACCGCTCCCTATATATATATATATATATATATATATATATATATATATATAACTTTTTATAAAAAAGGCTAAAGGGTCAAATAGACCCTCGAACTAACTTAAAAAGTGCAATTCACTCTTTATATAGGAGGCTCTGTCCGTCCGTCGTCAATTGGGGCGGTTCCCGGTGGATTTTTTTGATGAAATTTTTTGAGCATCTTATTCATTAAGTCTAGTTTACTCATACCAAATTTCAGCTAAAAATTCAATCGGGAAGGCAGTCAAATGAAAATTTCAAGATAACTCCGTAGTTAAACAGCGCAGTACATTTTAGAAAATCATTTGACTGTCTTCCTGATTGAATTTTTATCTAAAATTTGGTATAAGTAAACTAGACTTGATGAAGAAGATGCTCAAAAAAATCATCAGAAAATTTCACCGGGAACCGCCCCAATTGGCGACGGCCGGACAAAGCGTCCTATATAAGGGGTGAATTGCTAGTTTGAGGGCCTATTGGACCCTTTAGCCAAAAAAAAGACCAATCCTTGTCCGCATGTGACTCATTTCCTGGGTAGCACAAGTTGTGTGTCATCTTTAGAAGATCTTCAAGGGGCTCATTTGAGCTACGAGCTGGATATTTCTGCATTGATCTTCCACCCGAATCTGGTCCTTGCTAATTCATTGTCAACTAGCATTCTGGGCTCATTGCAATTGCTCTTTGAGAAGTAAAAAACCACACTATTCTTGACCACTCATGCTTAAACATAGACTAACAATGTCTTTTCTATTTTCAACTACAACATATTGCACACATTTTAAATCAACATTCGACATGGGGCCATAAACAAGAAGTGGTGCCTAAATGTCCTAGAGAAAGAGAGGTTTAATTTACACCTAACAATCACAATTGCATTAGTGGCATAACTCCTTAGCTACCTTGCCAGTATTCTTCCCTGATGACGCCTATCTTAGTATCTTACACAATTACCATCATCTCTTCTACCCTCCTATGAAATCTGAGCTGGAGTCTTTATTATTACATCAATGAAAAATATGAATCCATGAAAATATTTAATTTTTATAATTTTGATTATATTTCTTAGTCATCTGAATTTTGAGGTTTTAGTTTATAACTTTTAATTACTCCAGCGGTATGTAATTAATATTTTGTTTTAGGCATTATGATTAAAAATATGCTCTTACATTTTTAATTTTGCATTCTTTCTTCACTTCTGGTGCCTTGCATTTTCTAATGATGTAGTTTAACCCATGACTAGTGTACTCTAATTGTGTTATACATACGTAGTATTGTTTTATATTATTCCCATATATGCTGCTATGCAATTATTTAATATATATTTTAATTGATCGGCTCAATTTGAAATGAACTGTGGTGGTTGTGAACTGTGATTGCTGCAGATCATCACAGGCTTCTGGAGTTGAGAAAGAAGTTTATGGCAGTACTGTACCTACTGTTGAAGATGAGAAATATTCAGCAAGAATATTGGTATGTTTTTGAACTACCTTATTTTATGGTAAATTGTCATGCTATTTCCTATTTTGAGGAATGATTAGGATTTTCTATTTTTATAATTGCTATTTGTAAATCCTTTTTCCCATCAAATCTTGTATTCCGAAGCTTTCTCGTTTTAAGACACAATGAATTCAAACATTGCAGATACAAACCCAAGTGTATTTTCTTTTAATTGTTTCATATCAGAGTGGAGTTCTGTTTTTATATAGCATCCATTTCAACTTGTGCTCCCAAACAATAGGTTGACCACTCGATTGTAGAGAGCTTTGCTCAAGGGGGAAGGACAGTTATAACATCAAGAGTGTATCCAACTAAAGCAATTTATGAGACAGCAAAGGTGTTCTTGTTCAACAATGCCACCGGGGCAAGTGTTCAAGCAAATGTGAAAATATGGCAAATGAGATCAGCTGACATTAAGCCATTCCCCGTTTGAATCTAGTACGGAGTATGTATGTTCCACGGGCGTTGCACACTTGCACCTGATGCGGCACTATTCTTGCATGTATAGTTTTCTTGTAATATAAGGCAACAGTTCTGTGTTATTGACCCGTTTAGAAGCGTATTTATTTCACTTTTTTAGTAGTTTGATTTCGAAATCTATGCTGGCATCATTTTTGTCCATATTTAAGGAAAACCCCCTTTAATAAACTTTGATAAACTATGAATTTGATTGAAGGGTAGTTCTAATTGGAGCCACAAGATTAGTATTCAGTTATTCACAGCCCTTGATTCAAATTAATTGATAAAATATACTCCCTCCGTATTTTTTTTGTTTGTTACACTTTTCTTTTCGGGACGTGTTTAAAAGTTTGCTATACTTCCATTTTTGGTAAGTTTACCTTTTATAAAATACTCAGCTATCCATACTTTTTCTCTTTCATACTTTTATACACTCTCTCTTAATTTTTCTACACTATTCATTACTCATACTACTTTACTTCCTAAATAATGTGTCAAACCTAACGTAGTGAACAAAAAATACGGAGGGAGTACATTGAATGCTTATTATATCCCTATAGTGTGCTCAAACTGCTCATTCATTCACTCAAGTACTAAACTAGCTCTAAGGGTGGTCTGCGCTCGGGGTGGACCGGTTCCGGTTTGGGCCCGGTTCGGCCTTGAACCGGCCGGGCCTCGGTTCAAGGTAAGGGAGGCCCGAGCCCGAACTGGCGGTGACCGGTTCCGGGCCAGACCGGGCCGGTTCCGGGCCAGTTCACCCGCCCTATTTTTTTTTTTTTGCTTCTCTTATTTAACCCCATACCCCTCCCCCTCAACCCCAAACCACCTCAAACCACCTCAAATGGCCCAAAATACCTAATCCAACCCAAAACTCAAAAAAAATTCGAAAAAAAAAATTAAATCCGGCCCGGATTGGGCCCGAACCGGCCGGGCCGGTTCACCAAATGGAGGGCCCGGGCCCGGAACCGGTATCCACCGAGCCGGTTCGACCCGAACCGCCGGGGGGACCGGGCCGGGCCGGTTCCGGGTCGGGCCGCCCAGCCCGAGTCCATCCCTGGTCTGGGCCGGTTCCGGTTCTAACTTGGCCCAGTCCTGGTTCTAACATGACCCGGCTTGACCCGGTCCTGGTTCTAACCCGGGCCAGTATCGGGCCTGAATATTTATAACCCGTAGCCCACCCCGTCAGCTTGACTCGGAGCCTGGCCCGGCCTGGGCCCAGTCCACCCCTAGTCAACTGACTCAACTCCATGTCAAAGCCTCCTCTTACTGTGGAGCATTGTCAAAGCCTCCTCTTACTGTGGAGCATCTACGCAAGCAATGTCCCCCAGAGTCCTTTTGTTGAATGTCAATAATTCCGGTGGCCTAACAACTAAAGACTCCCGTCTATGGATCTTATTTTTTATGCCGTCATCGTCTTCCCTAGGACCATTCAACAAGACTCAAAAGTGCCCCATATGTTGATTAGAATTTTTCATTGGAAAAGCTGTAGGAGGGAACGTAAGAAGGAACAAAGCAGCTGTTGCAGCAGGGGAGGAACTATGCACGGGTTATGATAGGCTAAAGCCCAGAACAATTTAGAAAATTTTCAATTTCTTTAGTGTAAAATTTTTCATTTTTCACGTTTAGCACACCCCTCTAATATATAAAAGTAGTATAATTTCTATTCGGTCCAGGCTATCTCAAATTCCTGGATCCGCCCTTTGTGTTGCAGCCTTTGGGAGTGGTGGTGCAGGTGGTGGTTCTCTTCCTCTTTGTCTTTGGGTCAGTGACGTTCCTCTTAGAAACAAGCTGTCAAATGGATTGTAGACTTATTGATTGTGACGCCATTCGAGAATGATCAGTTCTTCATCAAGTATGAATATCTAGGCAGTGATCGATTTGATTAAATTAAGTGATGATAAATTTTTGTGTATGTTAATTAACCCCAACCACCCTCCTATGTAGTTAGATTATACCGTTTTTAATATAAATTGAGAATTTTTACTTGATTAGCTCAGTGTCTAAGTAAAGTGAGTATACAGAAACTTTGGGTTCAGCAAGCATCTTGCTCCCTGTTTTGATGTCATAATGTCATATTCAAACCGAAATGAAAATAGTTTTACTAGGGTAAGTTCGTAAGATTAATCAGTTTTTATAAAAATGAATTTAGATTTTTTTGCAAGATAAAAATGAATTTAGATATGAATTAAGATATATTTTATTGATAAAATTATTTGAAAAATAACTAAAATTGTCCTCTACATTAACATTAGCCAATTCATCTAGAAAATTAATTTCAACATTACTTATTTTGACTTTTGGGAAAATGGTCAAATAGGCCCTCGAACTTACATAAAAAAGGTCAAATAAGCTCTTATATAGGAGGCTCTGTCCGGGCGTCGTCATTTGGGACAGTTCTCGGTGGAATTTTTTATGAAAATTTTAGAGCATCTTATTCATTAAGTGTAGTTTACTCATATCAAATTTCAGCTAATAATTCAATCGTGAAGACATTTGTGTTGGTATTGGCCCAGCTTATTCCCTTAAGCCCAATTTCCCTATGGTTTGTACCCGACCCATACCTTTTGCTTAGCCAAATTGCACCGCCTTCTCTGCGATTCTTTCCTTCTCGGCTTATGCCTTATTCGTACTCGGTGATATCTTCTTCGATTGGTAAGTTTCCATTCTTGAGCTTGACCTGGGTCCTATATATTCCTTACTTCTCCTTCTCTGAAGTGGCTGGCCGAAACCTTAATTTCCCCAATTCGAATCGCTGCTCCTCTGTGGGTGCTCGAACAGAGAGTTGGCCGGGAAAGCTTGAAGGCAGATGCCCACATCTCCCCTTGTGACTAAAGTGGTTGATTTTCATCCTTTGTGGGTGAATCCTAACGAGACCTGAGCTGGAAGGAGAACTTACAGTGGTATCAGAGCCTTGCCGCCTCCTGCCGCCGTCTGCCGCCGCGTCGCCGCCGTACGTCGCCGTCCAGAGGTCGCCGGAGGTCCGTCCAGAGTTGCTGCCGCCTCCCAGAAGCTTCCAGCCGTCCAGACCAGTCTGCCAAGTGACGGGTTCTGCCAGGGAGTCTGCCAGAGCCGCTGCAGTTGCTGTTCAGTCTGCTGCCGCCAGTCTGCCGCCTGTCCAGTCCGCTTCCGCCGAGTCTACAGCAGCCCACGCTGCCTACGGTAAGTCGGGTAACCCAACCTCGGGCCCCGCTCAGGTAAATTGGCGATAAACATCCTTGGTGTACCGGAGTGCCACCGGATTTATTTTTTCCCCGCTCCCTGCTGCCCGCTGCTGACCTACGTGGTCTTGGAAGCCGGCTGTGCCCGGCCCCAGGTACGTTTACTAATCCTTTGTGTGATTTTTTATTCGTAGTTCATTCATTTTTTAATTTCAAGTTGAATTACAATTACTTTGTTGTTTGAATTGTGATTACTTGTTTGTTGGTCCGTGGATTAATTTTCCGGTGAAGAATATTTTGTTTGGATACTCGTTGTCCAAAGTTGTGAATATTTCTTCCGGTTTAAATTTAATCCGTTTGGATTTTGTTTTTTTTGTTGATTGATTCGTGGATTAATTTTCCGGTGAAGAATATTTTGTTTGGATATTCGTTGTCCAAAGTTGTGAATATTTCTTCCGGTTTAAATTTAATCCGTTTAGATTTCGATTTTTTGTTGTTTGATTCGTGGATAAACTCTCCGGTTAAGAATATTTGTTTGGATACTTGTTGTCCGAAGTTGGGAATATTTCTGTCCGGATTAGTTTTAAATCCAGTTTCTTTGCTTGTTGATTAATTCTAGCCTATTTGTGCTTGTACGAAAGAACAAGGAGATTGTACCCCGAGCTTTGTGTTCATTGGTCTTCTCGGCTTGTTCGTGCTAGTTGCTTCGTACAATTGATAGCCCTATAGGTTATAATTAATCATTTATCTGTCTGTTGAGTAAATTAAAATTTTATCTTGCTTGTACGAAAGAACAAGGAGATTGTACCCGAGCCTTGTGTTCATTGGTCTTCTCGGCTTGTTCGTGCTAGTTGCTTCGTACTGTTCTTTGCTTGATAATTTTTATTTACTCTCTTGCGTGTTGTGCTTGCTTTCCGGTTAATATGGCTGTCAATCAATATGGCATGCTTCCATTTAACGGAAAGACAGATTTTGATATCTGGAAACAGAAAATCAAATGTGTGTTGATCCAACAGAAAGAGCTGTGACTGGTCTCTATTTAGACTCTGAGGATGCTGCAAAGCGTGTTGAGATGAATGAAACTGCTTGTTCCTCTATATACCTGAACCTGTCTGATTCAGTGCTCAGGAAGGTGGGTATTATAGATTCCGCGAAGGATTTGTGGGACAAGTTAGATAAGTTGTATACCGATACTTCTTTGCCTGGTAAATTGTTTTTGCTTGAGAAGTTCTTTAGATTTAGGCTTGACCTGTCTAAGGACATAGATGAGAACCTAGATGTGTTTAACAAGCTTATCCAGAACATTAAGCAAGCTGGTGATAAACACATAGATGACTACACACCCATAGTGTTACTTAATGCCATCCCTGACTCATACAATGACGTCAAATCTGCCATAAAGTATGGTAGAGACGATATCTCGTTAGATATAGTCGTTAATGGATTAAGGAGTAAGGAGTTAGACCTTAGACACTCGAGGGGTAGTAACAGTCAGTCTAGGGAATCTGGTGAAGCGTTGTTTGTGAGGGGTAGATCTAAGAGTAGATCTAGAAACCATAAGAAGGGCAACAACGATAAGAACAAAAACAATGACCCGGGGAAGAAGAGAGGTAAGTCTAAGAAGAGAGTGTGCTATAATTGTGGTAATTCTAGTCACTTCATTAAGGATTGTCCCCATCCGAAGAAGTCTGAACATGCTAATGTGGTAGATGATAATAACTTGCATGAAGAAGTTTTTATGATTTGTGATTCTGCCAATTCTGTGTTGAGTAGCATGACTGAAAATGAGTGGTTGATTGACTCTGGTTGTACTTATCATATGACACCTTTTAGATCCCTGTTTTCTTCTTATGATTCTTGCAATGATGGTTTTGTGTCTCTTGCTGATAATAAGAAATGCAAAATTCATGGGGTAGGTGATGTATGTTTGAAGTTTGATAACGGGACTGTGTTTACTATGAAAAATGTGAGGCATGTTCCTGATTTGCGTCATAACTTGTTTTCTGTTGCTGCTTTTGAGGGTAGTGGGTTAGAGGGTAAATGGGGTAATGGGTGCATGAAAGTTTTGAAAAATTCCCTTGTTTTGTTTAAGGCAAAAAAGGTGAATAACTTGTATGTGTGCCATGCTCAGCCTTT